GGGTGGGGGAGGAGAGAAGAAGACACTGCTCCCTTGAATGGGCAGCGGGACTGCAGCCAAGGGCCCAGTGTGCTGGGCGCCAGGTCCGTGGGCCCAGCAGCTGTGCTGAGTGTGAGGAGGGAGCCGGAGTCTTTGTTCCAAGCATGCTGCTAAGAGTTTCCAGCTTGCAGGGCTGGGGTGGGCGGTGGGGTGAAGGGGCCAAGTGTGATCTGTACATTTCTGTTGTCCACATGAAGATCTTACCCGCTCTTCTGTTTTCATGTGGCCAAGTGGGATTTGCTGCCCTTCGGTCTTTTCTCTAGGCTCTCTTTAACATTAACCTAACTTGCTCATTCTCCCTCATCTAACTCCACCCACTGGAAAAAATCTAATTCATAAAAATGGCTTATTATTTACCCCCTTGTTCTACATTATGGGGTGTTTTTAGGCCTCTCAGAGGAGGAAGTCCAGAGGCCAGAGTTCCGGCCGGGCTCTCAGTGGCTTGCTGTGTGATCCTGGGCAGGTCACCACCTCTGTGGTCAAGGACCTCCTCGCTGCAAGGCTAGAGCAGCCAACCTCTACTTTTCCTTTGCTATCAGTGGACTGAGGGGCCCTCTAAGACATCGGTTCTCAACCTGTGGGTAGCAACCCCTTTGGCAGTCGAACAACCCTTTCACAGGGGTCGCCTAAGACCATCCTGCATATCAGATACTTACATTACGATTCATAACAGTAGCAACATGACAGTTATGAAGTACCAACGAAAATAATTTTATGGTTGGGTCACAACATGAGGAGCTGTATTTAAAGGGCCAGAAGGTTGAGAACCACTGCAAGAATTGCTGTCCTCTATCTGAAAAGACTTCTTGTGGGGTGCCCACCCAACCAGGCTGCCCATCTCAGTCCTGGTGCTGGCTGGGGTGAAGGGTGTCCCACCAGCTCACCCAATTCCTTTCCAGATGCACATTCTAGGGTCAGGGTTGCAGAAGCACATAGCCTAGTTCCATGTGAGTTTGGCTTACCGGGTTTTCTCTGGGCTCAGTGAAAATACGGAGGCCTTCTCCCTGCCTCTCCAGTGAGAAACCAGCGCTCTGGTGCAGAGGGAGGCGACCTGGGTTCCCCCTTGCTTCCAGGGCCCCAGCTGTGGGCTGAAGACTCCCGTCTCTGGGAGGTCCTGGGGCAGAGAGACTTGCTGCTTGGCTGCGTCCCTCTTCTCCCCCCCCACCCCGCCCCCTAGCTGTCTAGGCAGCTGGGCTGTGAGAGGAAAGAGTCAGGCAAATACTGCCAAGGCCCTCTCTGTGCTGGGTTGCTCTTGGCCAGTGGTTCCCAAATGTTGCTACACATTAGAATCACCTGAGGAGCTTTAATAAAAAATAAAATCCCCATGCCCACATCGTATCCCAAACCAATGAAATCACTGTGTCAGGTCTCAGTAGTTTTAAAGGTCCCTAAGCCAAAGGGTACAAGCTTTTATTTAGCAGGGTGACAAGTTAATAATACCGTATGTATGCTTGAAATTTGAAAAGAGATCTTGTTCTCACTGCACACACAAAAATGATAGCCGTGTGAGGTGATGGGTGTGTTGTAATCATTGTAGTGTCGACATAAGCAAACCATGACATTTCATACCTTAATATATACAGTTTGTCAACTGCACTTCATGAAAGCTGGGGGAAAGTTTTATTTTTCTATCCAAAGAAAAGATCCCCAGGTAATTCCAATTTGCAACAAGTTTTGGGAGCTACGGCTCTCAGCTGGGCAGCATCTGTTCTTTACAGGAGAAACAAACCGCTTCATGCATGCACCATACTTTTTTCATTTCTTCGTAATGCAATGGTTTTTCTCCTAGTGGTCTTTTACATTTGTCTTTCAATTAAAACAGTTTCTCACCGCTTCCTCCAAGTGGAAGAGCAAATCCCTCAGAGTTGTGTGCTTTCTGATCCCCCACAGCGATGGGTCTGTGCTGGGAGAGATTGAAATCTTGGGAGCAGTTGCTATCTGACCCTGCACTGGCCCCAGGTGCCATGCATTCAGGAAGAGCCCAGGAGGACTTGATTGAGTCCAGAAGTGTATGCCTTCAATCAGGCATGCACCTGGAGAAACCCATTTTGGTTTTGCTACAGCCCCTTCTCCTGGATCAGTGCCTTCATTTAGTCCTTCTCTGAAACTCTTCTTCACGTAGATTCAAGTTTCTGACCTCTATCATCTTCCTTCTCTCTGAAGAACTTTAAACATGTCTTGCAAGGCAGGTCTACCATCAACAAATCCCCTCAATTTTCATTTGTGTGAGAGAGTCTTTATTTCTCCTTCACTTTTGAAAGATAATTTTGCTGGACACAACAAATATTTTAAAGCACCCATTACATGCGAGGCACCTTTCTGGCCATTGGAAACACCTCCACGCACAGAACAAACAAAAACTTCACCCGTGTGGAACTTACACTCTAGTAAATACAATAAATAAAATAGTATGTTGGAAGGTGATAGGTGGTAAGTGGTAAGTAGGAAAGGTAAGGAGGCTGGGAGCAGTAAGGTAAGGTTTTAAATGGAGCTATTGGGCCCTCACTGTTTTGACTAGATCTCTGAAGAAGGTGAGGGGGCAAAGCTCACAGAAATTTAGGAGTAAGAGTGATTCAGGCGGGGGAAGAGCAAATGCAAAGGCCCTGCCTAGGCCAGAGGGGTGCCTGATAGGGAGGCCTGTGTGGCTGGAGCACTGGTAGCTGGCGAGGCAGTAGGAGGAGCTGAGGTCTGAGAGGTAGTAATGACCCAGGCTAGTGGTGTGAGGTGAGCAGAGGGGTGCTGGGATCTGCCTTAGTTTTGGAAGAGCCGCTCTGGTGGCCGTGAGGAAGAGACTGGAGGAGGGCCAGGCTGGATGTTGAAATGCAGACATCTGGAGGCTACAGCTTTAATTCAGATGAGACATGACGGTGGCTTGAACCAAGGACAGCCTAGTAGGTGAGTGACTTTGGCTGCATCTGAGTAACCTTACAGCACAGACAGTACCTCCTAGCTGAGGCTGGGGGCTGGAGACACTTACTCCTCGTACCAAGCTTGCTTACGGTAGGAGTTGTCTTTCTCCTTCTTGACAGTAACAGACTCAAGTTCCCCAGAAATGGGAATGGGGCCAGGACGGGCAGGCACTGAGGGTGCCTCTTCCTTCCTCAGCTGAATCAAGTTTCCTGTTTTGCCACCACAGACGCACACACATACACACAGGTGCAGCCTGTAATTCAGCTCTTTTGGAGGTGCTGGTACTGGTGCTTTAAGGTGGTTTTGGGGCTGTGGACACTAGAGGGTGGGTGTAAGAGCAAGGGGGCCTTTTGGCTCTCAGGCCCACCAGCTCCCTTGCCAGAGCGTGGACACAGAGCTCCACCCTGGAGACAGCTGATCGGGTTTCAGGCCTGTCTTGGACATCTGGAGGCTGCTGGAGGCCTGGGCATTTTGAAGTCTCAGTTGCCCTGGGAGGAAGGAACAGATGTTGTGTCAACCAGTCATTGCAAACATGATCCCTGCAGCAGCAGCAGCGTCAGCATCTCCTGGGAACTTATCAAAAAAGCAAATTCCTGGGCCCCAACTCAGATCTCCTGTATCAGAAATTGGGGGTAGGGGGTGTAGAGATCTGTGTTTCCACAAGCCTGTTGGCAGGTCAGGTGCACGTCCCACTGTCTGAAAAGAGGACTCCTGGTTTCTCAGGACTCCTCCTGACTTAGCTCACACCCTTCTGGCCCACACCCCACTCAAAGGTGGAGAGGTGGTAAGCTGCAGGAGTGGTGACAGCTGCTCACTTCTTTTTGCAAAGACAGAAAAACTCTAGAATGCCTACATCTCTTATACAATATAAAATAATCTAATATAAAAACCAGGCGATTTGTATTTCATTAGGCCCTGCCTGCCAGGGGAGTTCTGCAATATATTAGAACTATATTAGGATTCTGTTCTATTTACTATTACAACTGACCACAGCCGAGTTTTCCTGGGGAGACAGAAGCCAAAAGGCCCCAACAGTTTGTGAGGGAAGCTTTATTTTCTCTGAAATAATGGCAGGACCTAGGGGAACACTTAGGCTTCTGATCTCAACTCTCTGCGGCTATTCTTCTCTCAGCCTCAGAAAAGCAATGCTGCCTGGATGACACTGTCCACCTGCAAAGCCCCACCCAGGCTGTGCTGCAGGTGGAGCAGGCAGCACCCTCGGAGGCTTAATAAACATCATGTAAGGTCTTACCGGAAGTAACTCAGCCCCTTTTCTCATCTCTCTCACGTTTTAGAAAGTTTACTTGAATTACTATGGCTTCCGAGGAAAGCCGAAAGCTTTGAAAATATTCTTTGCGCTTCTTGTCTGTCGCCTCCCCTGGCGTGTTCCTGGTGCTCCGGCAGAGGGCCACCACGCAGGTGGCCAGGCAGCCCTTCTGTAGCGGTGCCCCCCTCAGGATCCCCAAAGCCCTCTGGAATTCTGGAGCGTGCCTGCTCCTAGCAGCAGGGAGGGAGCCTGCAGGTGACTGGAGATGAACGAACTCCTCAGGTGTAATGGCTGCATCAGTGTGGCTTGCCTTATGTGACTCACCGCTGCAGGTGTGAAACTAAAGCAGAGGAATGGCCTTGGCTCCCAGGACAGCAGCACTTACACATCCTCGGATGGGCCAGGAATTGGAGACTTGACACCACCATGCCTTCCCCAGCTGAGTACAGAGCTCACAAAGGAGAGAGCTAATAAATGTTGGATCTAAAAATGAGGGGCAAAGACCTAATGCAAATACTTTGCCAGCTGTATTTAGAAACAAATTCCTTCCTGCTTGCCATGCTCCCATTAAGGGCTCAGAAGTGGTCCCAGCTGCACAGACACCAGAATTCAATCAGGGTGGTGGTCTAGCTGTAGCCAATCAAAATTCCTTCCCAGAAATGTGTTTCTATCCAGTGAAAAATTTTTTTCATTTTAAAAAATATATATTTTTATTGCTTTAAGAGAGGGAGGGAAAGGGAGAGATAGAAACATCAATGATGAGAGAGAATCACTGAAATGCTGCCTCCTGCATGCCCCACACTGGGGATCGAGCCCGCAACCAGGACATATGCCCTGATCTGGAATCAAACCATGACCTCCTGGTTTATAGGTCAACACTCAACCACTGAGCCATGCCAGCTGGGTTGTAGAGTGAAACTTTTAAATCACTGACAAATTAGACAATCTCATGCACAGCATATTCAATCTGAAAGATATCGTGGTTTTAAAACATTCTTTAATGGATAATTTTATCCTTAGAATAAAATTTTGTCCTGTAAGAATACACCTGAGGAGATTGTAAAGTGATTTGAAAAGCTGGGATTGTGGGAAATATTTAGAGGGAGGGTAACATGTCATTCTCGCTAAGCTAATAATTAAGTTCCTTAAATGTCCTGGCTTGTTTGCTTTTTTAGGTACCTCGAATCTTCATTGGTAAAGAGTGTATAGGTGGATGCAGTGAACTACAAGAGATGGATAGAAGTGGGGAACTGATGGTGCGGCTAATAGAAATGGGAGCTCTAACGCCGTAATTACAGGTGGGTCACAGGTAGGATGCTGGATCGGGAACACTAAGAGATGGTGGAATTCTACTGCCATGTTTTATCATAATCTAGGAAGGCTAGGGAAAGGATGGTTTGGAGTGACCTGAGGAACTGTAATGTCATTTATTAACTTCCCTTTTTACAAAGGGATTGTGCCAATGGGAGACATCCTTTCACTCAACCTTCATTTCACAAATATTTTTTGAGCATTTACTATGTGCAAGACACTATACAATGCAGTGGGAACATAGTGATGAAGAAAAAGATAACATGAACTTTATATTCTAGAGAGGTGGACAGATAAAAAATAAGTAAATAATTCCTGAAACAAATGAATAGACTACTGTGATAGAACATGGCAGGGGTGGGGGAGCTAATTTAGCTAATATGGTGAGGGAAGGTCTTTCTCAGAAGGGCTGGTTGGGTTGGGCTCTTCTGACCGTCACATAAAGATGAAGCAGGAGAGCTTTTCGACAGAGGAAACAGCAAGAGCCAAGGCCCTGAGGTGATCAGTATAGAAAATTCAAGAACAAGAAAGCAAGGAAGAGCAGACTGCGTACAGTGCAGTGAGAAGGGAGAGTAGTAACAAATGTGGGCAGGGGCCAGAGCTCGCAGGCTGTGGTAAGCAGTTCAGATGATAACTGCAATGTGAAATGAAGGTGATGTTTGCTTCACCCGTGTTCACACTGCAACTCAATTTCAATTTAAGGGCTTCCCAAACACCAAAATGAAGTTTTCTAAAATGGTAGCCTAAAGCAGCGGTCGCCAACCGGTGGTCCGCAGACTACTGGTGGTTCGTGAGGTCTGAAAGGTTGGCCACCACTGGCCTAAAGGATATTCTTGGCTGAACAGAAAACCATAGGGCAGCGGACCCTTTAGAAAGGAACCAGGATACTTCTGGGGTCTGATGAGCCCCCTTCCTCCTCAGCTCTTCTTAGTGCTAGCTGGCCTCCAACTAGTCCAGTTCACAGACTCAGACACAGACCTGGGGGTTGTTTTTTAGTCAAAGGAGACATTTATGATTCTTAAACCAAAATGTTCTTTGAGGGATGTTTATTGCCCAGTAATTAATAACTTAGCCTTGAGCAATAAGTATATATACTTTGTGGTGGTTACTCAGAATTGCAACTACAACAAAAAGAGTTCTGAAAAAATACAAATGAAATCCTTTGAAATAAAAATCACTATTATAAACTTTCTAGACAATTCTTTGACATCATCACAGCAGGTGAATACTATGTTAGCTTTTCAGCCAAACCCCATATACTAAAGCTCTCAAAACTCAATTAATTTGTTGCCAAATGTTTTCTATTCTAGAACACTTTTCTTTTCTTTTTTTTTTTTTTTTTAGCAGTGTAGGCTTAAGAATGGAAGAAAACAAATGACTTTCCTGGGAATATGGGAAATACCATTTCCCCAACTATTAGGGTCCCCATATTCACAAGGCCTCTTTATTTGCATTGCTCTTCAGTGAGATATGCTCTCGGTATTTTGCTGACAGATGCTTTCAAGGCCACCTGTAAGGGATTGTGTTTGAATAACAGGAGTACGTGTTCTGGTGATGAAAGAGAACTGAGGGGAAATCACCTTTCCAAGGAAATGTAATTCTTTGTATTTTTTTTTTCCTGGCAGAGCAGACCCAGGCTGATGTCTCCCTTGAGAGCTGGATGGCATTGTGAATGGTGGCAGCACTTCTGGTGAATAGATCTGGGGCGACCTTTACCCAGCAACTGATTACTTAATCTTCTGAAATATCTAAACCAAAAAAATGGGAGAGTTCTCAGCAAAAACAGGCTTTTCTTCTTTCAACTCTTGAAAGTGAACTTGCCACAAACCACAGGTCTGAGATGGTGGATGGACATCTCGGGTTTTTTCCGGATTGGCCCGTGGGTTTCAATAGACTGCGACAAGTTATAGCTCAGGATTCCCTCATGGACCCAAAAAAGTTCCTTCTCTTTTGCACGTGGTTCTTACTATCGTTCATGTGCCAGGCCTC